ATTGGCTTATAGCTGCAGCTTTCAAACTTGGCCAATTATAAACCGCAGTGGCCATATCATTGGCGTCTCAGCTCAGGGCGTGTGTACAGGTGTGCGCACGCTTACAAAAAGGTTTCACCACCTTGTGCTGGTCCTCTCTGTGGCTGGTGCGGTCCTGTTTTTCTCTCTTTGTTTTTCCCAGATGCTGGGCACGAGCCAGTGAATTGATTTTAGGTTACATGATTGGGCCGCGGCCTGCAACTGTGAAAAGCATGCTTTGAAGAAAGCGGCACCGTCTTTTGCTCTTGGTTAGGACGTCCGTCAAACTGCTCACCTTATGGTTGCTTTTCCCATTCGCCCTCAAGGCTTTCTAGCTGCTGCTTCCCGAGCCTACGACGAGGCGGCTATGGATCCTAGATCCGCCCCCCCTGCTTATCTTGTGAACAGCCAGCCCGTGCGCTTCTGGTCCCGGTGTGAGTGCCGTCTCATCTCATCTCAGGGATGCGGGCGATGCGGGTGGCCGCCCAGATGTGGTCATAAATCAAAACCGCCAGGGCTGCTGTCTCCCTGACCTTGGAATAGGCACAGGGTGTGCTCAGGTCTCCCCTCCCTCCTCCTTTCTGGGCACTTCTGTCTGCTCCCCGGCGCCCACCCCCACCGCCGGGGCTTTCGGGTCCTCCCCCCACACCTTCCTTACAGACTCATAAACCGCGTTGGTGGCCACCAGGTTGCGTGTCCTCCTCTCCCGGAAGTCGCTTCATAGAGCCTGTGACCCAGCCCCGCACGGACGCGCTCCTGACCGCAGCAGCCTGGACACACCTGCGGGGCGGGAGGGGATCTTCTCTGGTGTCCTGGGTCCTGTCTTCAAGGCCATTCCCCAGATTTGCTGAGGAATTTGCTGCACAAGGCGGGACACTTCTCCAACATTTCTGGTTTCAAATGCTCCTCATCAGCCCGCAGCCTCTGAGTTTAGGCAGGTGTAGGAGCGATGCTCTGTTCCCAGTGTTTGGCGCTTAAACCCAGTCCACACCGCCGGAAGTCAACACTGTTAAGGGAAAATGGCCCGGTCGAGGGCTCGCAGGTGGACAGTCCCAGGCTGGGATCCCGCTGACACCACCTGCTGAATCCTCCCAAGGCCTCCGCACACCTGACCGGTGCGGGCTCTTCCTGTCTCTTTCGCTCTCTGCCCTATCCTGGAGGACTGATCACAGACGCTAGAAAGCCTCCTCAGAATGCAGAGCCCTGGCGGCCGGCAGAGGAAAAAATAGCATCTGGTGGGAGCAAGGGGGCTGCCTGGAGGAAGCGCCTTGTCATCCCACAGGAATGAGAATTCCCAGCTCATTACCTGCAGGGTTCGGTCTTGCCCTTTCCCCACAAACCTCATTTTACATAATACTGACCCTTAATAAACAAACCAGTTATCTTATTAACAGTAGTATAAATAATATTAGTTATTATAAATAATATTATTTAATAATATTATATTTATTATTAATACGTATTGCTGAAATGGAGATGGGACTCGCATTTATATAAAATTTGAGGCTCTGGCTTTAGTTCTATGAGATGTTGGTACTTGAGAACCAGAGTGCCCTGAGCCATGCGCACAGTGGGACCAGACTGTCCCCAGAGTGGGGACACTTGTTTTTCTCCTCAGCTGCAGAAACAGGTGGCCGCTGGCATTTACGAGGTTCCGTATCGCAATGAGAAGAGTGCCTGGTGTTCACTCAAATTTCACTTCTTAGTCTTAGAATCGCCGGTTCCCACTATTTGTTGCCGCTTAACAAGTTACCCCAAAGCATAATGACTTAAGGCCATGATTGTGCTCCCTTTTCTGAGAGTCAGAAATTTGGGCAGGACTCTGCTGGGCAGCTTGTCTGTGTCAGCTTAGGGAGGAGGGGCAATGGGTGCAGGTTGCACCTCTAAGAGGCTAGTCCACATGGCCGCTGTCGGCTGGGAGCCCGGCAGGGACTGCTGACCAAGAGCCTTCCCAGCGAGGTGGTCGTGGGTAGTCAGACCTCTTATAGGGCATCTCCAGGCTTCCAGAGAGAGGAGCGAGCCAAGAGGAGACACGGGCCCAGTGTCGCCTCCAGAATGTTCTATGGGTGAAAGCAGTTAAAGACTACCCAGATTCAAGGGACGTGGACTCATCTCTCTACTAAGGAGGGTCCCAGGGCTGGGGCCCCCTATAATCCACCATAAGAAAAACGTGCTGATTGCCGACAGGCTTCCCAGCGCATGCACATTTTGGCCTCAGGAGGGCAGAGTGAGCATGGACAGACGGAGCCAGGGCCCTGGATTGCTCCTAGCAGCCCAGTGAAATGATGAGCCAGTGGCCAACACCTGGTCAATACTTGTCCTAATGTTGCAACAGCCCTATCCCTGTAAATTTGATGCTATTGAGGACAAATCCAGTCAGAGGATCAGAAAATATCTATTAAGCTTTTACTCTGTGCAAGATACTGTGTGGGTGCTGGGAACCCAACCATCATCAAAACACCCAGCTGTGTGCTAGCCGGTTTGGCTCAGTGGTTAGAGTGTCGGCAGACTGAGGGTTCCATTCCAGTCAAGGGCACATACCTCGGTTGCAAGCTCAACCCCTGGCCCCTGTCAGGGAGCATGCAGGAGGCAGCCAGTCCGTGTGTCTCTCTCACATCAATGTTTCTCTCTTTGTCTCTCCCCGTCCCTTCCAATCTCTCTAAAAATCAATGGAAAAAATATCCTCCGGTGAGAATTAAGAAAACAAAACAAAACAAAACAACAAAAACCCACCCAGCCACAGTGGTGCCTCCTAGAGGGTGTGGTCTGGTATAGGAGGTAGGCACTTACCTGATGATTTCGTGGGTAAATGTCAAAGTCCACCTGATGAATGGGGCAGCGTGAGGCGGAGGCCAGGGAAGCCTTTTCGAAGGAAGTGATGGCTGACATAAGATGAAAGATGGTGAAGAGGGGAGGATGGAGCACCCAGGCAGCAGAGATGGGCTTCAGCGAATTCCCCGGGCAGAAAGGAACTCGGTGAGGATGTGCAGCTGGAGCCCAGGTCCTGGGAGGAGCGAGGCCGGGAATCCTTCAGGAACTGCCCTGGTGGCGTCGTCCTGCTGTCCCCTGTGCGGCACAGGCAGGTCTAGCTGGTCTTGGGTAGAGTCCCAGGCTACTGCTGTCTTCCGGCAAAGACACTGTTTTCTTCATAGCCTGGCTGGCCCTGGGCACACTTCATGCGGGTGTCAACAACGAGATAATTACTCTGCTGATCCACCAACTCAATCCAGCTAACCTTGTCCTAGCAGCTCATGTCAGCTCTGTCAGTTCACCTGGACTCAGCTCAGTTCAACCCAATCCATCCATCCTTCCGCCCAGCCACGATTCCAACATGGATCTTCCAGGTGCTTTCCTGTGTCAAGGTCTGTTGGGCCTGGGGATCCAGCGGGCGTCGCTTTGACCAGCTGCCTCCCGCTTCCAGTCTAAGTGGCGGCGTGTTGTGGTGGAGAGGAGATGGGATTTAGAGCGAGGCTCCTGGCGTTTGCAGCCCAGCCCTGCCACTCACTGCCTTGAGTAATTTTGGTAACCCCTCGGAGCTACAGTTTTCTCATCTTAAAGCAGGAATAGAAAGACCTAGTTTGCGGGAGTTTTGTCAGAATTAAATTCATAGAAGGCACTCAAAAAATGGTGCCCATTCTCAACACAGACCCAGGAGCATCATGGGGGAATTTCTAAACACTGAGGACTAAAATAAGATCTTACCAGATCCTATAAATAAAAATAGGTCAATTACAGAGATCAGGAAACACATCCACGTTAGACTTTTAAAAGCAAAAGGACAACGGGCAGAGGTTCTGGTTCCGGGTAATTCGGTGAAGGAGCCCTCCGCCTGGACCGGCTCACCGATTGCCCTGTAACAGCGGATGGGTGGTAGCAGCTGCTGAGAGCTTGTAGAGTAGAGAGTGCCCGGCAGGTTAGGGAAGATCAGAACCCAGAGACCAGCCAACCAGAGGCAGGGTGTCCTTTCGCCCCTGGGTGCTCAGCCTCGACTCAAGGCCGCGTAGCCTGCGGCGCCTAAGTAACGGAATATTATTAGGCAATAAAAAGAAACAAGTTATTGATTCAAGCAGTAGAATGGATGACTCTTAGGTGCACTTTGCAAAGTGAAATAAGTCAGCTCCAGGAGACCCCAGTTATATATGATTCCTTTACAGAGCATTCTGGAGAAGGTCCCAGTATCGGGACAGGACACAGATCGAGGGGCAGGGAGGGTGGGTTATACGGGGGCAGAATGGGGGAAGTTTTGTGATAGAAAAAGAAATGGTGTCTGTTAAACCCTCTTACATCTTTGTGAGGTTTTTTTTTTTAGCCTCTCTAGACCTAGGAAAGACTAGGCAGAAAGAGACCCAAAGCTCACCCGACACTGGAAAAGGGGGATCCCACGGGAGGAGGATCCGCCACTAGAGGGTGGTCCTAACGGCCTTGACATTGACCTCAATTGCTTTATTACATTCCTGGGCTCAGGCGAACCCTTGAGTTCTTGTGTCAGAATGAGGTCTGGGCGTGGGAGCACGTCTTCCCCCCCCCCCCCCTTGTGCAGCCTCCATCCCCAGCCCATCAGCCCACTCCCTCCCACGCAGGGATAAGGTACCGGAGGGAGGGAATGGTGGCACCTACCATGCCCAGTCCAGCAGGCCTGGCAGAGGCACAGTTAGGCATGTCCTCTGTATTGACAACAGAGGACGGGGGACAAGGAAACCAGGCGCAGCAGGACACCCAAGGGTGGGAACAATAGAGAAAGTCAGGTGGGCTCCCCCAGCCACAGCCCGGCCGGCCATGTCGCTAAGCATCAGCGCGCCTGGTGCCGCCCTGGTCCGAGAGCAGAGGACGCCAAGCGGAGCCATGGCACCCACGCTCCGAATCCTCAGGTCCCGAAACAGGAGGCACCCCTTTGTCTCCCATCGCTGCCCACTTGTGGCTCAAACCCGGGTTTCTCCTGTGGAAGGAGCCTCCCATTCAGCGCCATCTCCCTCTTCCCCCAGGTACTCGGTGGTCTCGGAGGCGGAGACGGAGAGCATTTTCATGGAGCCCATTCACCTCTCCTCAGCCGTGGCTGCCAAGCGCATCATCAGGGAAGGTAAGGCCGTCAGAGGCCGGTGGGAGCTGGGAGCGTCCTGGGGTCACCGGAGACGCTGGGACGGGGCCCGGAAGGTGTCAGTGTGCTTCTCAGGCGCTTCCCATCGCAGACGAGGAGCAGATCCAAAGCAGCCGCCCTCCTCCTCCTCCTCCTCCTCCTCCTCGCCTCCTCAGGACAGAGGCGGGAATCGCCCGTGTCGTGTCGTGGCGTGTGAACAGTGCTCTGGTGGCACAGGAGGCGGCCCCACCTGCCCTTATGCCCCATTCAGGTTTTCAGCTGCCTCAGGGTCCTGGGGGGGCTCGTGTTAGAGACACAGACCGAGAGCCAGGAAGTGGCTGGAGCACGCAGAGCGCCCTGGAGGGCTGTCTAGAGGGGGCCTGCATGGCCACTGGGGCTGAGATATATGTCTGGGGAGGAGGTGGGACGGGTGGGGAGAGGCGTTACCATTTACACAGTAAACCCAGGAGCAGAAAACATACTGTATCTCACTCACCCTGACTGGATGGGTTCACCTTCCTCCCATCAGTTTTGGGAAAATAATCTTCCGGAATTTCTTTCCTCTTTCTCCTCACTTTGGCCTGAGGGTCTCTCCCACTTCGGTGGCTTTGGCTTCAGTTGGGATCCACCGCTGGGGGCCAGGACCCCATCCCAGGCCTTTCGTCATGAGACCCACACACGTTGCTCCTGCACGTGGAACCCCGGGGCTCTCTCAGTCCCCTGGCCCTTGGGGTCCCCCCAGGATCCACAGGGACATCTGGGTCTCCTGTATCCTCACGAGGAACCAGAAATTCTATCTGCTGTTGCTTGCTACCCGGGCCCCCTGGGAGGCCCAGTCTCCTGAACGCTCCACTGTTCTCCTGTTGGCTTAGAGCAACCTGCCTGGGCCTCTGGGACCCGCTCGACCAGACCAGGTGTCCTCGCCCGCTCTGGGTTCCTCTCGACGGCGCCCAGCACCACGCTGGCTCCGGAAGCTCCCTTTCGCTCTTGTGCGGCTGGGAATGCCCGGCCTCCCACCTGCATCTCTTCTGGCTCCACTCTCTGGCCCGCTCTCCAGGCTCTGGTCCTGTGAAGTGGAAATCCCGCTCTCAGAGTTGGGAGAAAACCACGGTGTCCCTTGGAGTGTCACTTGCGGGTCGATAGGACGCTGGGGACACTCCACAGGGAGAGTGGGGCCTGAGCGGAGCCACGCCCGGCTTCCTGCGGAACCTCAGCGGCTCTCCCTTCCCTGGCGCATGGGCCTGAGCTCCATTGGTCTTAGAGGCTGAAAGGTGGCCAGGGGATAAGAAAAGTCCAGAGAAAGGAAAGCGTGTCCGGGGACAGTCTAAAGATGGCCCTGCTCATGAGGTCAGGGGTGACGCTGACTCTGAAGAGCCTCTGTTTTCATGGAAGCCCAAGTGTGCCAAGCGAGGACAGAGCGAGGAGAGGCCTGGGCTTCGCTTTCTCGTGAAGAAACCTCACGCAGTAGCCATGCACGGGAGGAGGGGGCATGGGGAGGGGCTGGGAACCGCTGGGGGTGGGCCTGAGGCCAGGGAAGGGAAGTGATGAGAAAATGGAAGAGGAAGTCAATGCGTGTATTTTAATGAGGTGCTGGGAGTTTTGTTTTTAAATAAAAGGGTAAAGGAGGGATCTCTCAGCAGGGGAGGGGAGGAGAGGGGCTTTCTTTCGCCTGTGCTTGGTGAGACTCCCGGAGAGCTGGGAGACACGTCACCTAGTTTTCAACAGCACAGAGCCCAGGGCCACAGTGTCTTTCTGCCTTGCATTGGAGATGAGAGACTGTTTAGAGCTGAGACCTGCTGCAGGGATGTGGGCCGCTCGGATGGTTTAGAGGAGGGAAGGGAAGAGAGGGGCTTTGGAGGACGGGTCCTCCTCGGGAGAATGTAGGGCTCCGCCCGCAGCCCGCAGGATGGACAGCATCTTAGTGGCGGGCGGACTCGCAGCGCCCACAGACCTCGAGCAGCGAGAGGGCTCACAGACGCCTGCTCCCTCCGCGGGGCTGGGCCAGGTCTACTGGCCAGTGGGGCCGCGCCTTCTTCACTCAGAGCCAGGTGGTGCAGGCAGGTCATGGCCAACACAGAGAACTCCCTTTCCTACTTAACTCCTCCCTCCTCTCTCGATTCAGTGTTTTGGCTGCTAAGTGGTGGTGTTGGTGGGGGGGACACACCTGCTCTCCTCTCTCCTGTTACCTTCTTTATTTTTTAATTAATTTATTTCAGAGAGGAAGGGAGAGGAAGAGATAGAAACATCAATGATGAGAGAGAATCATTAATCAGCTGCCTCTTGCAAGCCCCCTACTGGGGATCGAGCCTGCAACTGGGGCAGGTGCCCTTGACAGGAATCGAACCCGGGACCCTTCAGTCCCCAGGCTGAAGCCCTATCCACTGAGCCAAACTAGCTAGGGCTCCTGTTACCTTCTCACAAAAGGAAGTATCTGCCTGACCCCGATTTGATAAATTGGGAGCAAATGGATTAGGAGGAGGAGACCAAAGTTCACTAGAGACAGGGGTGAATAGGACTTGATTTTATTTGGAATCTGAGCCTCTCTGGCCAGAAAGGCCTGGGTGCTGCCTTGACTGGCATCAGAGCCCTGGCCAACCCGCCGCCTGTGGAGAGCTCGGGGCTGGGAGACAGGTGCTAACGCTCCAGGGCGGGAAGCAGACAATATATGGCATAGACACGCCCACTAAATGTGATGGAGCAAAACCCACCGCGGAAGGTGTTGCTTTCCCGGGGTGTCTGCATCGCATGTGCAGAGGAGTCAAACCAGCCCCGGCTTTGCACATGAAATGCAGACACATGCACATGCAGGTATTCAGTTAGCCAGGGCTTCTGCTTTGTATGGCACACTGGGGGGTGTAAGTATGCACCAGATGTATACCAGGCACTAAGGACCTCAGACTAAGGTGTCAGCAGCTTTCAGGTAACGAGGGGGGAGTAAGGGAAGCTGGTGTCCCATTCCCTGCACGGCCCTGGCCCTGGTCTTGGCCCTGGTCTTGGCCCTGGCCCTGGCCCTGGCCCTGGTCCTGGCCACAGTGTCCAGGCCAATGCAGGGCCCCTGGGCCCCCATAAGTCCTTCCCGGCAGATGCTGCAGGCGTTTCAGCCCATGCCCAGAGGCCTGGCAGCAAACTGGCCAGGAGTGGGCATTCCCCAGGAGCAGGGAGCCGTGGTGCCCCAGCTCTGATGAGAACGCTGCCTGTCCCCCTAGAACTCGGGCCGCGGGGCGTCAGGGCTGAGGCAGAGTGTCCGGGCATGCTGGAGTCCGCTGAGCAGCTGCTGATGGAGGACCTGTACCACCGCGTCCGGGAGAAGATGGACGACACCAGCCTGTACAACACCCCCTGCGTCCTGGACCTGCAGCGGGCCTTGGTCCAGGACCGCCAGGAGGCCCCCTGGAACGAGGTGGATGAGGTCTGGCCCAACGTCTTCATAGCAGAGAAGTGAGTCTGACTGCTGGGCACAGGCCCTGTCCTCCCCTCTGGGTAGTGCCGGAGAGAGATGAAACGCCTGCCCCCAACTTTCACCGAAGGCCCCACTAGCTCCATCCAGAAACGTGAGGCTGCTGACCACCCACCAGCTCCCGCCTTGGAGACAGGCCCCGCCCACCTGTCTGCACGCAGGAGTCCACTCACCTCTATAGGTCAGCAGGGCAAAATGCTGGCCCCATGACCCTGTGTCCCCTGCCAGGGCTCTTGTCACCGCCTCGCCCCTCGAGGTCCCTTCTCAGGGCCTCCCTGCCTGCCTGAGCAGTGCCAGCACAATCCCCCTCACCATTGTCCCCCAACGTCCATACAACCATAGAAGGAGCCATTGATGTGATTTTTACGTGTATTACCAACATACGGAAATGTTCACAATGTAGTAAGAAGATAATTAGGTTCCGTGATAGTGTAGATACTGTGTTTTGCTAACTAAAGAATATATAGATGTGTGTGTATAGCTTTTGCATAGACAACAAATTAGAGCCAAACATGATCAAGTGTTACCAGTACTTCTCTCTAGGAGGTAGTTCTACAAGTGATTTTTATTTTCTTCTTTAGGGTCTTTTGAATGGAACAGATTTCCTAGAGTAAACATTTATGGTTGTTATAGTCAGAAAAGAAATGCTATTTTTAAAAAAGTGTATCAGGGGTTTCCAGAACAAACCTCAAAACAACTCACTCACGTCCCATTCCCTCGGGGTCTTGCCAGGGCCTACGTGGAGCCACGGCGTTTGCGGCCCTAAGGCTGGCCAATCTGTTGGCTACTTACTGAGATGTTCTCCTGATATAGTTACCTTCTATCCAGAAGCACAGGGGGACCTGGGGCCCCAGGAGAACAGTAAGAAAATAGCTTTGGATGGTGGGTCTTATTCCCCAACTGGACTCAGTGCCCAGAACCCGATTCCCAGTGCTCGCACCGAGTCCCAAGCCATCTCTAATGAGCTCTGTGGACCCAGAAGCTCCGCCACCGTGGTCACCAGGAAGGCGCGCAGGGCGTCTGCCGAGGTCCCAGCTGAAGGCCTCTGCGCCTTCTTGGACAGCCCTGTCCTCGGGGCTCCTCAGACCCCCTCCACTGCAGCGAAGAGCTCTGAGCTGGACGTGCAAGCCACCGGGCCCTGCGCGGTCTCTTTCTCAGTCAGTCTCGGGAAGTCATACAGCTCTCGGTTCATTTTTACAATCTCCAAATGGGAATAAAAGTAGTTTCTCTGTCTACCACTGAAGTGCATTATTAGGACAAAATAACGTACGTGAAAGAACTTTGGAAAACACAGCATTCCAGATCAGCGTGCGGCACACTCAGGTGATGGTTATTTTTGTCTGCCTTTTCTGTGTCTTGGTGAGTGTTTATTCCCAAGGCCTAGGATTTTAGTTATTATTGTTTTTGTTAATCCTCACCGAGGATATTTTTTCCATTGATTTTTAGAGAGAGTGGAAGGGAGGTAGGGGGGAGCAGAGAGAGAGAGAAACACCAATGTGAGAGAGACACATCGATTGGTTGCCTCCCACACACACCCTGACTGGGGTCAGGGGTTGAACCTGCAACTCAGGTACGTGCCCTTGACCCGAAATTGAACCTGTGACCCTTTGGTGCACAAACTGACACTGACCACTGAGCACACGGACCAGGACTTAATGCCTGATTTTTAAAAAAAATATATATATATATAATTTTATTGATTTCAGAGAGAGGATGAGAGGGAGAGGGATACAGAAACATCAATAATGAGAGAGAATAGAATCATTGATCGGCTGCCTCTTGCATGTTCCCTTCTGGGGATGGAGCCTGCGACCCGGACATGTGCCCGGACTGGGAATTGAGCCATGACTTCCTGGTTCATGGGCCGACACTCAACCACTGAGCCACACCGGACGGGCAAGATTTTAAACTAGAGCTCTCTGGACCATTCAAAGGTTTCCTCTCCTCCCCCCTCACCCCCCGCTGGTTCTCTTCTCTGTCCTGCCCTCCCCTGCCAGCCCCGTATCTTCTCTCTTCCGTGGGGACCGAGTCCCTGGCCCCTTTTTATAACGGTATTGCAGTGAGCCCAACCTGTGGGGGAGCGAGGAGGAGGCACTCGCCAACTGGCCCTCCTGACCCGGCCGGCGGACTCCCCTCTCCGTGGGGACGTGCCTGTCCAGCTCCGACTCTGGCACAAACCCGTCCCCGCCTCTTCGTCCTCAGGAGTGTGGCTGTGAACAAGGGCCGGCTGAAGAGGCTGGGGATTACCCACATCCTGAACGCCGCCCACGGCACCGGCGTCTACACGGGGCCCGAGTTCTACGCCGGCCTGGACATCCAGTACCTGGGGGTGGAGGTGGACGACTTCCCCGAGGTGGACATCTCCCGGCACTTCCGGAAGGCCGCCGAGTTCCTGGACGAGGCCCTGCTCACCTATCGAGGTGAGGGGGTCTGCCTGGCCTGGGAGAAGAAGACGGGGACGTATGGACCTCCCGTTATCTGCCGTGTCTGGGGTTATCTGTCTTACGGAGGTGGTTGTATAATTATAGAAAGAGGGGAAGGGAAGGACCACCACACGTCCAGTAAGTCATGACTGAGGGCTGACAGGTGCCCTGGGGTGAAAGCCGCGCCCAGAGCTCTGGCCTTTGCATCCCCCATGCAGTGAAGGCAGGAATGAAACAGAAAAGAGAGAGGAATGTGAGACACGGGGTGGGGGGGGTGGGGTGTGAGGCCTGAAATGATGTGTTGGAGCGACAGGCCAGCCTTGGAGAGGGAGGCTGACAAGGGCACCCGTAGCTGAGAGACAGGGAGGAACTAGCCATCGGAACATTGAGAGGCGCTACCTGGCAGAGGAAAGTGCTGGAGCAAAGGCCCCGAGGGGAATAGGCTTGTCCAGGAGTCGTGGGCTGGTGTGGAGGAGCCCTCGGGGGAGGAGGGGGTGCGGCCTGTCCTGCAGGAAGGTCAAGGACAAGGCAGGCACTGAGAAGGCACCTTGACCACACTCACCCCTCTGCTTTGAAGACCCCACTGGGTGGGAGGGGAGCGGCGCTGTGGCCCAGATAGGAGCCCACGGGAGACTGCGGAGCTGCAGGTAGGCACGGGGTGGGCACTTGGGGGACGTCATCTCCGACACACTCTCCGTCTCCCCGTGTGTATCTCGTCCCTGTCTGCGGGTGTGTGTGTGCCGTATGTGTGGTGTGTGAGAAGTTGTGTGTCTGAGATGTGAGTGTCGTATGTGTGTGTTGTGCATGTGTGTCTGGCATGTGTGGTGTGTGAGAAATGCGTCTGAGATGTATGTGTGGTATGTGTGAGTGTGGGGGGTATGTGTCTGTGGTGTGTGAGAAGTTGTGTGTGTGGGGTGTGTGTAGTATGTGTGGTGTGTGAGAAGTTGTGTGTCTGAGGTGTGTGTGGTATGTGCGAGTGTGGGATGTATGTGTGTGTGGTATGTGTGGTGTGTGAGAAGTTGTGTGAGATGTGTGTGTGGTATGTGTGAGTGTGGGGTGTATGTGTGTGTGAGATGTGTGAGAGTGGTGTGTGTGTGATGTGTGTGTGAGCAGAGCCTGGATGAGGAATGATGCAGCAAGGATGCTATGAAGGGAATTCTTAAGTTCCGGCTGTGACTGTTGATGCTTTCCACGTCAAGACTCCACGTCTCTGTGATGCCCTCATCTTGGCCTCAGGTTTCTCTGGTCTTGCCCTGTCCCCCCTTCTTTTATTTCTCCCCCCTCTGATGCCCGGTTTGGCGGGAGAAACGAGAACAGCGGAGACAGTGGTTAGTCCCTTCCCCCGCCCCCGTCTGTCCCCACGTCCTGCCCAGGTTCAGACAGCGCACCAAGTGTGTGCCTGGGCTCAGGGCAGCCCCACTGCTCTGCCTGCCACTGTAACACGGGACAGACGGACTTGAGCACGGACAGAGACCAGAGGGCCAGGCAAACCTGACACCAGCACATCAGAACGGGGGCTTAAAGCCAAGCCAGGACGTGCTGCGGCCACAGCTCTCTGACCGTGTTTTCTTCTCAGGGAAAGTGCTGGTCAGCAGCGAGATGGGCATCAGCCGGTCGGCGGTGCTGGTGGTGGCCTACCTCATGATCTTCCACCACATGGCCGTCCTGGAGGCCCTGATGACCGTGCGGAGGAAGCGGCCCATCTGCCCCAACGACGGCTTCCTCAGGCAGCTCCGGGAGCTCAACGAGAAGCTGATGGAAGAGAGAGACGAGGACGACAGCGGGGAGGGGGGCGCACATGGGGCCGAGGAGGGTGAGGACACGGGGAGCACCATCGGGGCCAGGGTGCAGGACCTCACGGTGGAGGAGCAGGACGACACCACCAGCCGCCTGAGTGGCTCCTCCTTGGGGGCGGCCAGCCAGGCCTCCAAGCCCCTCACCCTCATCGACGAAGAGGAGGAGGAGAAGCTCTACGAGCAGTGGAAGAAGGAGCAGGGCCTCCCCACCGGCAAGGCCCCGCAGGGTGGGGATGGCAGGTGCTCCGCGCCCTCTGCCCAGGGCGGGGACGAGCCTGAGGATGAGGATGTGGAGGGGATCATCCGGGAGTGGCAGCGCCGAAACGAGAGGTACCAGGCAGAAGGGCACCGGAAGTGGGGGCAGGAGGAGGAGGTGGAGGAGGAGGGTGATGTCGGCTCCTTCAAGGGGAGAAGGCGCCGGTGCACCCGGAGTGAGACCAGCACCTCGGAGAGCATGAGCAGCCATGACATTCGGGTCCTGAAGCAGCAACTGGAGATGAGCAGCCAGAGCCGGCGAGGGAGGCAGCGCTCCGACTCCGTGTCCACGGACAGCTCCTGGGACGTGTGGAACCAGAGGCTGCTGGAGATTGAGAAGGAAGCTTCCCGGAGGTACCAGTCCAGGAGCGAGAGAGAGGAGGTGGGCGCAAGCTCAGAGGCGGGGAGCAGGGTCCGGGAGGAGGATGAGGAGAGTGTGCTGTCGGAGGCCAGCTCCTTCTATAACTTCTGCAGCAGGAACAAGGACAAACTCACTGCCCTCGAAAGGTGGAAGATCAAGAGAATCCAATTTGGGTTTCACAAGAGGGACTCGGAGGCAGGAGACAGCTGCAGCGAGCCAGGCGCAGAGGAGGCCGAGCGGGAGAAGAAAGGCGCCTCCGACGTCAACCTGACAGCCTACCAGGCCTGGAAGCTGAAACACCAGAAGAAAGTGGGCAGTGAGAACAAGGAGGAGGTGGTGGAGCTCAGCAAGGACGAGGCCTCAGCCTCGGCCAAGAAGAGGCAGCGGAGGCTGGAGCTGCTGGAGAGAAGCAGGCAGACGCTGGAGGAGAGCCAGTCCATGGGCAGCTGGGAGGCTGACGGCTCGGCCCGCCAGCAGGAGCATCCCCCTGTCTGCCTTTCTGGTCCGCAGCCCCCTTCGGTTAGTACTGATTGGGGACACAGCCTCAGTACTCAGCACCCTGAGCCTCAGCTCCCACCCATCTCAGGCCGTAAGCAACACAGGGGGAGGCTTGGCCTCCGCCCCCTCCACGCGCTGCCTAGCCTCCCCGTGGGGCCTGGAGACACCGTTTGCATTGCCAGTATCCAGAACTGGATCGCCAACGTGGTCAGCGAGACTCTCGCCCAGAAGCAAAACGAAATGCTGCTGCTGTCACGCTCCCCATCCGCGGCAAGTGCCAAGGTGGGGCCGGCGGCCAGCGGCCCGGGGGATGACCAGGTCTCCATGCTCAGCGCACAGAGCGCCTCCTCCCTGGGCCTTCCGCCTCGAGGGCAGGCAAGACCCGGTTCCGACACGCAGTCCCTGCCGTCCTGCCACAGCACGCCGAGCTCCAGGGCCGAAGGCACGGGGAGCACTGGGAGGGGGACCAGCAAGCCCGTCTACAGCCTCTTTGCTGACCACGTCAACCTGAAGGAGCTGGGCCAGAAGGAGAAGGAGATGCAGATGGAGCTGAGGGAGAAGATGTCTGAGTACAAGATGGAGAAGCTGGCCTCCGACCACAAACGCAGCAACCTTTTCAAGAAGAAGAAGGTCAGGGAAGATGAGGACGGGGACGTGGGCGAGAGAGACGAGGACGCCGACAGCGCCATCGGCAGCTTCCGGTATTCTTCCCGCGGCGGCTCCCAGAAGCCTGAAACGGACACCAACACCGGCT